GCCACCACACCGCTGCTCTGGGCTGTGTTTTGACATCCCGGTGAATCCGCCCGGCACCGTTTCTGTCCCGTTTTCCCTCGCGTCGTTTCCTCCGGCTCAGATCTCGGTGGCTTCTTTCTGGCACACCCAGTGCAGCGGCGCGCTGCAGAGGTGGGAGCGCAGCTGACTCCTCCAAATCGCAGCGCAGGCGTCGCCTTCCGCAGTACCCGGCGCCGGAAACCTGGAGAGCAGCGTGATGGCCATCAGCCTGCCGCCATGCGCTCAGACGCTGGGTTGCCAGCAGCAATATTTATCTCATTAGGGCGTTTTTCCCCCAAAAAAAAACCTGAACCTGAACCAGGCTGTGAGCACTGGAACGTACAACCCCTTTGCGTCTTGTTTTTCCCAGCTGTGTCGGGGTAGCAGAAGCGTTGGGGGGAACCCGTGCACCCCCCAAAACTTGTTTCCCCTCCCCACACCCCTGTGTGTGTACTACTGGTCTAATAAATATTGGCTTTACCAGAAACCGCCTTTTTTCCGTAAATTGGAGTCACTTTGGCTACAACAGCACCCCTGCGTGAAAAATATTACCCCCGGGGCAACCTTCGTGCTTTCTAACGGGTTGAATTCTCCCTGATTTTGCTTTGTGTGGAAAACAAGAACAAGGATTTAATTGCTTTTTCCTCTCTTCTCCCCGTTTAGAGACCGGACCCACGTCGCTCGGGTTTAATTCGCTCCCGCGAGCGTTGCTGCCGGCTCCGGAGGGATTTTGGGAGCAGCCAGGTCTGTGGTGAGCGTCGGGCTGGGGGGTGCTTCCCCTGGGACGTGGGTGTTGGAGCCGGAGCGGGGAGGGACTCACAGGGCTTTTTGCAAAGGGGATCCGTCCCACCACGTCCACTCCTTCCCTCTCGTCTGGTTGATGCTCAGCCCCGTCCAGGCTCGGGAGGCGTTTCCGATCATCTCCCCAAGGAAAGCCTGGGAGGGGAGGGATGGAGTCTTAGGGCCGATCACGTTGGGGTGGAGACCTTGATCGTCCCCAGATGACCCTGGGGGACTGGAGAAGGTCGGTGGGTGCTTGGAAAGAGCTGGGAGCGTGGGCAGGAGGTGGTGGGCAGGGGAACAGCAGGTTTTGGGGCGATAGAGGAGTCTGGATGGGGCAGCGTGGTTTTGCCTTTCTCCTCTGATCTCCTCTGGGCTCATTTTTCTGGCGTTTCTCCCTGAAACGCCGCCCGGCAGCGTGGGCTCGGGCGCTTTGCGAGCCAGGAAGGGAACGTCAGCGGCTTTTTGTGGAAAGCGAAGCTTAAAAAAGCCCGATGCGGGGGCAACGCAGGAGCCTTTCCCCTGCAGTCTTTTACCTTCTCCTCCGCGCTCTCCAGCACGACCAGCTGAGACCTCTGCCTCCAACAGTTGTCCACTGCCACCTCCCAGGCTCCGGTTTTTGGGGACACCCAGTAGCACTTGGCTGCAAACGGCCGCCAGCTTGCGGGACAGAGCCGGCAAGGCGAGGTGCCTGCAGCGGAGGATGAGTGTGAGTGGTCCCCGGGTGCTGCGGGATGAGGGGCAGAGCTGGGGGGGCAC